ACCTGCAGGGATTAAGTGGACCCATCAGGACGTTGATGGGGTATATAGGTGACCTACTTGGGACGCCAGTAGGGTATTTTGTGAAATCCTTTGAATTATGTACTGCCGTTAAAAGTGTTATAAGCATTTCAATTACTCGGATTATACTTAATTATGCATTTATTGAAAGTAAAACTGTTGATGCATTTCTGTTAATAGATTTCATTTTGAAAAATATTGATATCTTTCAATCATGATTATTTTTAGGATTATGATGAGCACTTACTGAGTAGCCAAACTCATCAAACTATGGTAAACATTTTTCAGGATAACTACGGATTCATTTTGAGTGCTAGTCAAGATCAACCTTGGAAGATACTGTTGTTGTGCTAGCTTTCTTTATTTACTATGTAAGACCTCGCCACTGTAAATTTGTCCTATCAATAGATGTATATATGTTTTGTCTGTCACATCTCAGGAATAACAGTACTGTAAATTCTTGGGGTGTGACAAAGGCCAACTTTCTTTTTCCGTTAACAAGATATGAACTCCAAATATGGCCTTCTAGCCCTTAACAGAGTTTCTGTTATGTTAACCTTCAGAAAGTATTGACAGTGGAATAACATAAACACTAGAAATCAATCTTTAGTTCATACCTCATTTTATGATGCGAGAGATCCTAGACCAGCTAGGCAGACGCAGAGGATACTAATCTCAGTATGAGCTTGAGATTAACCCAGCCAATATACTAATTTTTTTAGAATTTAATCTCAATTTAACATGGCTCTGATACAATTTAAGATGTGCTTACTATAAAAGAAATAACATAGCAGAATAAATGAGCATAAAGAAGACTGAATAAATAGATAGATAGAGAGTTTACAAGTAGAAAGTCATAAACGAAAGCTGGAAGACAAGACAAACAAAGCACACCAAAGCAGTAAACTAGGCTAAGAGGCTCTAAGCAGTGCTCTGCCTTCACATACAACCTATGAGGCCTTTTATAGGCAACGGATTTGAAATCCGGACTTCAAACCAACATAAAGTAAAATCTAATACTCTGTCTAAAATCAAAGGCCATTAAAATCTATTATTTTTTGACAAGACGATAATTTATTTATTTTTTGATACACTTGGTAGGAGTTGAGCCTAAAAATCTACTATTTTCAAAAAGCATAATATCAGTATGTATGAGAGCAGTAGTGATTGTAGAGACAATGATCTTGCATAAATGAGAGACGACAATAATACAAAGCCATTCAATTGTCTGTCCAAACACATCTCGAATATTATAGATTATTTAGCTTTAACCTCAATTGCATGCCTCACATGTAAGATCTAGAGAGAGAGAGGGAGGGAGAGAGAGAGAGAGTTATCAAAAAATATATATTAAAATGTCCCCAAATGATGAACTATTTAACATCGTGTTTTGATTTAGTCTCAAGTGTCTATTAACATCTTCGTTTATGAAAGGATGTAGTTTTTAGGGTAGCAACTCTGTTCGTAGAAGTAAAATTGCACTATTATATACTGTTTATTTTAATTGGATGTTGTAGATTTGATACGTCTTTTAAAACAAAAACAATATAAAAAAGTGATACATATGTTTAAAGGAAAAAGTTAATATAAGGCTGCAACCTTGTAATGTAGAACTGCAGATGCACCTCAAAAATCCATCAGAAAAGATAGTTTTAATGTTAAAAACCCTTTGATTGATCATCTCGACATCGAGATGTATGACCATAAAAAATAAAAAGATTTTAAGTCTAAAAAATAGTGCATTTTACAATATATTATCTA